TATACCCCAAGTAGTCTGTTATTTCTCTCCCTCCAAATGTTGTATACATGGCCAACAAATGCCAACTTCAGCAGAAGAACAATGAGAGTCTTACCCTTGAGAAACTGAAAAACCCATATCAACTCTCTGTCCTAAGTACTCACGCGGCGATTAATCCCACACAAAGATAAAATATTCCCCCACAGATCCCTAGCAAAATCGCATCCAAAAAATAGATGGTTACGAGTCTTAGGCTCAGTGCCATGGAATAAGCAATTGGCGTTATTAGTATTCAGTCCCATACGTATAAGTCTCGACCGAGTGGGAAGCCTATCAAGAGCAGTCATCCACAAAATAGTGTTATGCTTCGGGATACGACCAAGAAACCAAACTAGTTTGTACCAAGTAACCATAGGCCCCTGCAGACGTAAGTTCTCCCATACACACCTAGTACTGAGGTTGCTACCATGACCAACAAATAAATGAGAGACATCAGGCCTCAGTTTGAGAATTTTCCTAAAGCACGAGCTGGCATTTTGGGGATACTCATCTGCCAAAAATCCAAGTTTTTAATCACATATGTATGGATCCAAGCCACCCATAGGGAGCCTTCATTGGCCAGCAGCTTTTTTATAAGGAACACCATGCAGGCATTATTCCAGCCCCCTAAATCAAGAATGCCTAACCCCCCCTTCAGACTTTATCAGACAAATTTGTCTCCAATTAACCCGAGCACCATTTGCAGACAAGTCGGCCCCTCTCCAAAAGAAACGAGAGCAGAGCTGTTCAACTATCTTAATAATGGATTGAGGGAGGATTATCTGCCTACACCAGAAGTTGGCCATACTAAACAAAACAGAACGTATGAGCTACAGCCTACCTGCAAAACTTAGGTGCCTATTAGCCCATGAGTTCAATTTTTCTCTGATCTTATCGACCAGGCATTGACAATCCTTGACTGAAATCTTCCTAGTCACCAAAAGGACTCCAAGGTACCTATCTGGGAGAACACCCAATTTGAAGCCAGTAACCTCACGAATGAGGGCACACAATTAAGCAGGCATACCAGCAGTAAACATTTCACACTTACTCGAATTAAGCTTCAACCCCGATAACAAATAAAATGTTTCTAAAACAGACTGAACACCCATAACAGAGTCAATAGTACCCTTGCAAAATATGAGAATATCATCGGCAAAACAAAGATGGGTTAAATTTATCTTCCTACATTTATGATGGAAATGAAAAATCCCCTTCAAAGCAGCTGTGTTCAGTAGTTTGGATAAAGCACTCATAGCTAGGACAAAGAGGTATGGTGAGAGGGGGTCCCCTTGCCTAACCCCTCTGGCACCCTTAAAGTAACCAACAAGGCTCCCATTAAGCATAATAGAAAAATAAGGGTTGGTGAAACAATTATAGATCCAGTTTATGAATTTATTAGGCAGTCCCAAAGCATGAAGAATGACACTAACAAACTCCCACCTAAGTGAATCAAAGGCCTTTTGAAGGTCGATTTTTAGTGCACGCCGAGGGGAATTATTCTTTCTAGCATACCCCCTAACAATCTCCTGAGCAATGAGTGTATTATCGACTATACTTCTCCCTTTGACAAAAGAAGTCTGATTGTTTGTTATCATTCCAGGAAAAACAACAGACATTATGTTAACTAGGATAGTCATTGTTTTGTAGATCACAGAACAACATGAAATGGGCATGAAGTCCTTGACTGTGTTTGGGTTGGGGATCTTAGGAATAAGGATAATAGCAGTTGCATTAAAAGATGGCAGAACAAAAGAAGCATCAAAACAATACATGATGGCAGCTTTGAAATCCTCACCAACAATTAACCAAGCTTTCTTGAAAAAACAAGGATTGTATCCATCTGGTCCAGGGGATTTGTCATTCCCTTGACCCCATAAAGCCTCCTTTATTTCCACATCAGAAACTGCTCTGAACAAGGAGTCAACAGCTCCCATAGGTAAGGAGTACCCAAATAGGTCCCTCATGGTGCTAACATTGTAGCCCTTGACATTAGGGTCAATCGTCCCAAGCTGATTTTTAAAAAGTCAATTACCTCACTAGACAAGTCTTCAAAAGATTCCAGTCTTCTGCCATTTTGATCAAAAAGCACTCTGATAGTATTGTTTTTCCACCTACTGGCAACCATGGAGTGAAAAAAGTGGGTGCCCTGATCCCCCTCCTTAATCCAGTTGGCTTTAGCCTCCTGCTTATAGAAAAGCAGTTATGCTTCCTCGAGGACTTTCAGCTCACTTTCTACTTCACATTCCGAATAAGCAAAGACACCAATAGTACCAGAATTCAAGTTTGCCCACTGAATTTTAGACAGCTCCTCACGTTTTTGCTTTACCCGGCTCGAAATATCATTGAAGTACAATTTATTAAGATCCTTGAGACGAGATTTTAGTCTCTTAAGCTTTAATAAGACAGTTTTCATTAATTTAGTATATTATGTAACTTCTTAAAAACATATGACCATTGTTATTTATTATTTAACAAAATTTAAAGTTTAATGTCTATTTTGTATTTTTTTTAAATCAATGATAAATAAAATCAATTTAAAAAATTTATTGACTATTTATAAATTTTATCTTATGTTATATTTCAATACATGTCGATGTAATACATTTTAAGACATTCATTTTATTTTCACCACACTCAAAGAAAAGAGTAAATATGTGGGACCGGCTCATTGGTTTTTTATAAATAAAAAACCTTTTCACTGTTAAAATAATTATCATGATTTTTTATCTTCTGATATTTATCAAGAAATATTTTTAAATAAATGTCAAAACATTGATATTTACCTTTAATTTTGTAAAATAAAAGCCATAAATAGACATTAAATTATATTAAAATAATTTTCTAAACATCAAACTTTCAAAAAGTTATATATAGGATTAAATTTTAGATTTTATTAAAAAAAATGGATACAAAGTCATTATCTATCATTAAAGAGGTCATGCAACGTGCTAAATTAATAAGAAATATCTCAGTTGATCATTTAATTTTGACTAAAATTTTATTTTATTATTAATTTTAATTGAAATAATTTTAATATTTTGTTTATTTAAAACAAATGGATATAAATAAATCAACTATTATTTCTAGTTTCATATTATAAATACTAAATTTATACCATATAAATTATTTGATACATTATTAAAAGTTAAAGATTGTTTTGATTATTTTATTTAAGATTGGGTGTATTTTTCTTATTAACATGATACTATAATTTTTTTTGATTCTTTTTAAATTATGTTTAAACTTCATAAACAAAAGTCAAACGCTTAAATCATATTGTTTAATAAAAATTAATTGCATTGTTTGATAATTCAAATTTTTAGATCTAAAATATTATAAATTTTTAATTTTAGAAATACAATCACGTTAATAAATAATTAGTTATAAAATAATTTGATGAACGAGATATTTCAAATAAATATAATTTTTAATTAAAAATAAATTGTTTTCATATATAATTTTTTTCAAAAAAACAATTTTCTAATTTATTTTTTAAATTATTATTTAAATTTTTAAAAATATATCAAAAATAAAAAATTAGTTATAATTGAGGACAAATAAGATATATTTTTATTTCATTTAACATGTTGCACCACTCCTTAAAAATATTTTACGGTTGATACTTATATTTTACTAAAATATGAAGTTTAGTGTCTTTTATAACTTTTAATAATCTAATATAAAATCATTTTAATAAATTTAATGATTATTTATAAATTTTATTATATTTTAATATTATTAATGCGTATCAATTCTCTTCATTAATGATATACATATGTGTGTATCATTCACTTTGTACTCATCCTTTTACCAAAGAGTAAAGCCAAAGAGAAAAGGGATTGGAAGGTAATTGAACCAATTAGACTCTTGGGTAACCACCGACAACTTTTGTGGCTTGTCGCTGACGTAACATCGTGCTCAAAGTTTGACACGTGTACAAATTCGTAGTAATCCAAACAGTGTAGCTTTCCTATTGATGGAAACTTGAAAATCATCAATAACCCACTAATTACGAAAAGGAAAATTAATCAATCTTTAATTAGACGAGAAAACAAGAAATCAGGAGTAAAGATTATCACCGTTGGAGAAGTTAATTGGATGCCATACAAAAGTACAACATCGTTCTAGCCGGCATCCCCAACCGCATCCGCATCACGAGGAGCAATAACTGTCCTAATTTCCAGCTGGATTCCACCTTACAACTCCCATCACTTACTCTCCTTCAGAGGTGCACATTATTCCATTTGAAATGGTTTTTTTTATAATGTTTAAGTTCCTAAAGTGTTTTTGGTCAAAATAAATACCTCAATCATCTTTTTAGTCAAAATTATTATCTAATTTTTTTTTGTCAATATAGATACTTAAATTGTTCAATTTTTTTATATAAATATTTAAAGTATTCTTTAATTAATTTTACAAATCAACTTTTTAGAACTTGAATAAAAAAATTGAATAGTTTAAGTACTTATTTTGACATAAAATATTTTATGTACCTAATTGACCAAAAAGATAGCTTTATTTATTTATTTTGACAAAAAAATTGGATACTTAAATGAAGAAGAATGTTTTAAGTACTTATTTGTAATATAAACCTAAAAGAAAAGAGAAGACTGTAAGAAAGAAAAAAAATATTCTTGTTAGATCTAAAATTTATAAACTAAAGAAATATAAGAGACTAGATATATACAAATTGAGTAATCAATCAAATATACTTCACTCATTAAAATTGTTAAAAGTATATTTCTAAAAGTCCTTTCATTTATTAGTTGTCTCATACTTTGAAATGATTATAAGTTAATATTTATTTAAATTTTTTAAAATTTATTAATAATATAACACATGATGCAGATTTTACTACTCAAACTCAATATTTTCACTGGTTTATTTTATTACTGAAAACTGAGTTCAGAGATAAATTTATTTTCTTCTATAACTTATATCAGAAATATGTTTTATGTGAACAACGATAATAAAACAACTGACCAAGCTCCAGCTAAGATGTTTGCTTCTCAAGCCAACAAATTAACATGCAATTCAAATTTACCCGTGCAACCTCGCACGTGCAAGAGTGACCGGCACGTGTAGTTAGCTAGAGCATGAACGAACCTACGAAGATTGCGTAAGAGAGGGGGAGAGAGATAAACCGAGGGGATGCTCACGGAGGCTGCCTAGAAATCGGCGATTTTCCGGTGTAAATGATACTTCGAAACGTACTTATCAAGTTCTTGCAAATTCCTTTGGCTTCTAATTGCCAGAACATCGCCTCTCTGAATCTCAATAAATCGGCCTACATCGCCGATTTCTCGTGAATCTGTCAAGAACAAAGCATAAAACGAAATAAGCAACAAAAGAAGAAATCACTAAACCGGAAATTCAAGAACTAAAAAGAGAAAAAGTGAGTTGAAACGGCATTATACCTAAACGCTTTGAGGAATGCTTGAATCCGTTAAAAGCGGCTAAATCTGAAACAAAAAGAGAACAGTAAATAATGAAAAATACACTAGATTAATCTATCCCGATAATTACGATGGTTGCTGATCGATAAAACGAAAAACGTACCATATTGTGAAGGACTGTGAGAATTTAGGTAAAGTACGAGGAAGCAAAGGAGAGTGAGAACAGGAATGAGATGAATGAGCTTCTCAGAATTAGGAGGCGACGACAGCGACTGCGATGAAGGCGAAAATGACAATGGGCGAGGCTTACTCTCCTTGCTGTCCTCGCCGTCGATGATTACACGGCGTTTCTGATCATCGGCTCCGGTAATCTCTTCTCCATGGATGTGGAGCTTGGAGGTAGGCGAGCCTAAGGATTGTCTTTGCATGTTTGTAGTGAGAGAAAAGCGAAAAATGAGGCTCTAGAATTAGGTGTGCTTTGACCGTTGCTTGTTTCAGTATTTCTTAAAGGAATATCTTGATTTTCTATCGGAGAGGTTGATTTAATTTTAGGTTTTCATTAAGCCGCGATTAGGATAGTAGTTTAGCTTAAGTATGCGTCAATTTACCTTAAATTATAAATTTATAACTAAATTTATGATTTTTAAAATCTTGGAATTAATTATTTTCCTTTCTCAAATTTACCATTTTACTAAGTTTCTTGAAAAATATATATTCTTCAAGATAAAATTTCAATTGAAAATAATAAAGTACACAAACTAATTGATAATTATAATATATTTGTACTTAAATTTACCATTTTATGAAGTTGCTCCTTTAAAACGTGAGATGGTCGTGGCTCATATACAGTGGCGGATCTAAAAACAAAATTGAGGGTGAAAACATATATTAGGAACACAATTTTTAAAGATAAAAATATTAATAATATTTTGATTATAACAAAAAGTCTCACAAAAAGTATATTTGAAAATATTTTTTTACAATTGTTCCCTCTAGGCTTCATGTTCTGATATCGTTGTATGATCTTTTCATTGTCTACATTATCAAATATATCTTTCTCAATAAAAGTAACTAAGCAATCATTCAACCATTCATCTTCCATACGATTGAGCAACCGATTCTTTATAAAATGCATTGCAGAGAATGTTCTTTCCACTATTGTGGTTGTAATCGGTAAAACCAAAGATAACTTTAAAAGTAAATACACAAGTGGATACACAACATGCTTCATCGTCTCAACCATCTTTTTAGATAAATCAAAAATTCCTTTTAGATCACAAAATCTTTCATCTAAACGAACATCAATAATATAATTATCAAGCTGACAATTAAGCAACATAAGATCTCATGTAGAAAATTCACAAGAATAAAATTCGGCAAGATGAATCAATTTTTTTCTTAACAAAAGAAAGAGACAAGTCTCTTGGACTCAAGCAAGGCACACAAAGAAGTAAACTCTGTACATGTCTCAGAAAAACGATTATTACGCTCTTGAAGTTGTCTATCAATCACCTAATAAAACAATTCAACATGAAAATGATGCAAATTTGAAACTTCACGAGCTTTTCTCCTAGACCTCCCTGGAACAACAAACACATTTTTCATATTTGGAACTTCAATGTTGTTCTTTTCACAAACGAAGAAACTTCTTCAAGTAAAGGTTGTCACCCCACGTATCTCATCCTTTGTAGTCGTTGCTTGGACATACTAACTAATTGCATACCATTTACAATGTCTTGACCACTTTGATGTAATGCTTTAGATAATTTACTAGTAACCCCCAATATATTTTTCATCAAATGCAAATTCAACACAAACTCAAATGACTATAAAGAATTCAACAACATAGAAGCTTCAGCTCTATACTCTGAGTAGATCCATCTTCCTCAATAATTTCAAGTACATCCATTACAGAAGAAAACATAGTAACCGAGTTAACAACAATTTTATAATGTGAACCCCAACGAGTATCTCCAGCTCTCTTTATAACAATTTCTTGATTTAATCTGCGGCCACTGAAGGTTTCACCATTTTGTAATGCTTGTCTTACTTTAATCATCTAACTAGATTGAAGAATTTCTTTTCTTTTACATGAAGCATTAACCATATTAATCACACTAGCAAACAAATTAAAGAGAAAGACAACCTAAACTTGTTTTTTAGCAACAACAACAAGTGCTAACTGAAGCTGATATGCAAAGCAATGAACATAAAAAACGCACTTTGTCTCCTAAAATCAAACTTTTAAGCCCATTAAATTCTCCTTGCATATTACTTACCCCATCATAACCTTTTCCTCTTATTCTTGAAAAACATAATCCATGAGTTGTAAACACAGCTTCAAGAGCATTCATAAGTGAATCATCAACAATATTAGAAACATGAACAAGACACAAAAAGCGTTCAACAACTCTTCCTTTCTTATCTACGTAATGTATAACGATAGTCATTTGCTCTTTAACAGATATGTCACGAGACTCATTAACCAAAATAGCAAAAAAAATTCATTTCCAAGTTCATCAATAATTGCACAAGTAGTCTCGCTAGCAGTTGCACTAACAATATCTTTTTGTATAGTTAGTGCTACTAGTTTAAGATTGCCACGAGTATTTTTGAAGAATTTGTTAATAGTTTCATTATGAGTAGTAAGAAACTGCAAAAGTTCTAAAAAGTTACCTTGATTACAAGAATCATAAGACTCATCATGTCCACAAAAAGTTAATCCTTGTCGCAAAAGGAATCGAACGCAATCAATTGTAGCTGTAAGATGAGTTTGATATTCTTGTTTGGCTTGATTAGATTGCTTCGTAATGACAACTTCAACATGTTTCTGATTCATTAGAGCTTCACATTTTCTCACAGCTACATTATGAGAACTATTAGGACCTCCAACATGAAGTTACAATATGCTCTTATCTTTCCAATTTTGAAATCCATTGGCAACAAATGTATCACCTCCTCCTTGCTCTCCTCTAGATTCAGGTCTTATAAGGCAACATTGTAAACAAAATGCTGCATAATTGGATACATTATACTCTAACCAACTTTTATGCTCTTCGAACCACTTAGGATTGAAATTTTGTAATTTACCATTATACTTTTTCTTAGGAAATTTATGTTCTTTTGGTTGGCAAGTACCTTTCAAAAAATAAGCTCTTCTAAGTTCTTCATGATCATTCGGATGATATTCTATAATATTTGGTCTTATTTCGGGATCCGCTTGAAGATATTTTAAGTCAACTTCTAGAAATCTTTTTTTACTGAACATGAATCTTCTATTGTAGTCCTCTTTTTAAAATATTTTTCCATGCCTAAACAAAAAGACAAAGAATTAGTTGAATTATAACAATAAAGAGACACAAAATATAAAATGAAAAAGATATAATGTGTACAATAAGCGTCATTTATTTGTGAAAAGTACATAAATCAATCTAGTAATGACTTTATAAATATTCAATTGTAATTCACAATCATCATATACTTAAGTTTATAATTACACACTTGATTAATTGGTTACTATTGGATGGATTACAACATGATGTATCAGCTTAGCATGAGCATGAACCAGCTCAGCATATGCTTAGCAAATTAGTTAGATTGCAGTTAAGAGTACAACAACTTTATGTTATAGCTATTATACAAAACTTTGCTTGTATATAAAGGAAAATGTTGTTGCTTGTAAAATAACAAAAAAATCAATAATATTTAGTTTTACATATTCACTTTAAGTTTCAATGAGGCTTTTCATTATGGTATCATTCACTCAGTTGGTTATGGGATAGTTTGTTTTTTCTGCTGTGCGTGTTGCTTCTTGGCAACATTCTTGCGAGAGCTGCTGTCATGGTGTTTGGTGGTTCTGGAAACATTCTTGATTTTTTATATTTTTTGAGACTCGGCAAGATGTTTACTAATAAACACATAAACATTATGTTTGATGAGATGAATTTCCTTCGATGGAAGCAGCAGGTTCTTTTAACTGTTCGGAGTCACCGACTTGAAAAATTACTCACTGGTGATCTTAGTTCTCCACCTGAGAAAATTCTTGATGCTGATGGCAATCTTGTGATCAATGAAGAATATGATGTGTTTGTGGCACAAGATAGTGCCTTGGTTTTTTGGCAATCTTGATGAGGTATGGGCCACAGTTCTCAAGTTCTTTTACAATCGTTCTACTACTAGTATAATGAGTTTACATTGCACATTACGATCAATCAAGAAATGAGATAAAAGTATGCGTTCGTATCACACCTTGAACAAGGAAGTTTGCGATGCATTAGCAGCATATGGCAGTGTTATATCTGACATTAATCAGATTACCGCGATCTTGAATGGACTTCCATTTGAGTTCTAACCCTTTGTTGCTGTTATTACAACAAGCAAGAATACCTTTACATTAGATGGAGTTCAGTCAGTATTAATAGATGCAGAAGCTCAGTTTAAAAGCTTTCAAGTTCAATCTCAACCGCTTCTTAGTTCCAATGTTGTACATGTTCAGAACAACAACCAAAGGAAGTATTCTGATCAATCCACTGATCAACAATACTCTGTAAGTGAAAGAACTCCACAACAATATTCTCGTGGTAGATCTGGTACTCGAGTCGTGGAAGAATAAGGGTGCAAAGTCAATTGTGTGGAAAAATTGGTCACTCAGTGTTGGCATCGATTTGACCAATCGTTTTCTCGAGTCTTGGCAGATAAACATGAGTCTTTTAATTCTCAAGTAGCAGGTTTTGATAATGAATGCTAGACCTGCACCAATAATGGTTGTGCTCCAGTACAGAGTTTTTCTTCATCTTCCAGCTTAGATAAGTGAGTTATTGACTCGGGAGTGACTCACCATGTCACTCTAGATGGTTCCAAGCTAAACAACAGATCTGATTATTCTGGACCAAGTAAATTAATTGTGGGTAATGGAAAAAGTCTTGGTATATCTAAAACTGGTTCATCTCTTCTTTAAACCAAGTCTCGAGCTCTTTTTATTAGCAATCTATTGCATGTTCCTGATGTTACTAAAAATCTTTTGTATGTCTATAATTTTGCTAGAGAGAACGAGGTATTTTTTGAATTTCATGCCAATCATTGCTTGGTGAAAGATGAGAAGACGAGAGAGGTCCTATTGCAAGGGTGGGAGACTGTTGGACTGTATCAGTTTGCTGTTGATCATACACATTGTAATAAGGACTCAAGTTCTATAGAAGTGAATGTAGCTACTAGCTTAGACATGTCTGACTTGTGGCACCAAAGGCTTGGGCATCCTGCTTATGTTCCATTAATGCAAATATGTAAACAAATTGGAGTTGATGTTGCCTTCTCGTTTAATAAAGAAAGACCAAGTGTTTGTGTAGCTTTTCGAACGGGGAAAAACCACAAAATACCATTTCATGAGTCTACCACAGTTATTATGTCTCATTTATGGATGCCTGTACAAGGTAATGCTGGGTGTACTTGCTTAAGACTAAAGATCAGACATTGCATACATTTCAGTTATTTCATACATTTGTTAAAACTTAGTTTGAGGCTAAAATCAAGGAACTTCAAACTGACTGGTGTGGAGAGTACAGACCATTATCAGAGATGCTGGCTAATATGGGTGTTCATCATCGATTGACATGCCCTCATATCTCAGAACAAAAAGCACCGACATATTATTGAGTTAGTATTAGTCTTAATAGCACAAACGTCATTACCATTGCGTTTCTAGTCCTATGCTGTAAGAACAACTATATGTCTTATAAATCAATTGCCCACTAAGGTTCTACATGGAAAATCACCCTTTGAAGCACTTTACAACAAACATGCTGATTATAGTTTTATACGTATTTTTGGGTGCAAATGTTTTCCACATCTTCGAGTTTTTCAGCAAGATAAGTTGGAATTTAGGTCTCAACCATGCATGTTCCTTGGTTATAGTGTTCATCATAAGGGCTATCAATACTTGGCACTAAGTGGAAAAATATATATTTCAAGGCATGTCATCTTCGATGAAAGTTGTTTTCCTTTTGCAAGAAGCAGTGAAAAAGTGGTTGACATAGGTCAAATGTCTTCTCGAAAGCTAGAAATCATCAATGGTGCTCATAAAGTATGTACTCGGGTTGGTGATTGCATGAATGCCAGTCAAAGTGCACATATCAATGCTCAATTGCCTATAAGTAGCCCAATTCAAGATCTTGATTCTGGATCGATGAACTAGTCTACTAAAGATGAAGGTGTTGGTTCTGGTCAACATATCACAGCTGAGAATGATGTTGAAGGTATTGGTTCTGGTTAACAAGTCACAGCTGAAAATGATGTTATGGTTGAGCAGCAAGAGATGACACAAGTCAATCAACCAAACTTAGATGCTGCTTCAAGCTCCAAGACTATATCGAGTCATCATATGATAACTTGAAGTAAGAGAGGAATTTTCAAACCAAATATGTATCTTAGTACAAAAAGTGATGAGGAAGAAGAACCATATTCAATTTATGCTACACTTCAATCTGATAAGTGGAAGGCAGTTGTTCAAGGAGAGTATGATGCTTTGGTGACAAACAATACATAGACACTGGTTAAACTCCCTGAGGGCAGATCTCCAGTTGGCTGCAAGTGGTTGTTTAGGATAAAAAGAAATTCTGATGGCACATTACATAGGTACAAAGCTAGATTAGTGGCTAAGGGTTTTTCCCAAATTCCTGGGCAAGATTTTCAAGACACCTTTAGTCTAGTAGGTAAGTCCTCCATAATTAACGTGATTCTTGTTGTAGCTGTACAAAAGGGGTGGTGGTAGACATAAACAATGCATTCTTGAATGGTGATTTGCAAGAAGATGTTTACATGCAGTAGCCTCAAGGGTTTAAAGAGGTTGATTTAGATGGGACTCTTCTAGTGTACAAACTGAATCGGGCTTTGTACAGCCTAAGGCAAGCTCCTCGTAACTGGTATGTTAAGTTGAAGGAACACTTGCTACACATTGGTTTTGAAGTATCACTTGTTGATTGTTCATTGTTTGTAATGAGAAGGGAAAGACATGTTGTCTGTATTATAGTATATGTGGATGACATAATTGTAACTGGAAGTATGGTTTGTAAAGTGGAAGAAGTGGTTAGCTTACTTGGTGAGAAATTTTCTCTTAAAGACTTGGGGCAACTCAGTTTATTTCTTGGAATTGAAGTCAAATATGTGGGTGATAGTATATTTCTAAGTCAAAGGAAGTACATTATGGAGTTGTTAGACAAAACACAGATGAGAAATGCCTCACCAATGCCCAGACCAATGATCTCGTCCCTCAAGTTGACCATAGAAGCTGGAAGTGCTCTCACTGATCCAAAAAAATATAGGAGTCTTGTTGGATCATTGCTATATGCATGTCACACAAGACCAAACATTGCATATTGTGTCAATAAATTGGCCCAATTCATGCATACACTGTGTGAGCAGCATTTGTATATGTGAAACATGTTCTCAGATACTTGAATGGAACTTTGGATTATGGACTAGTTCTGTCTCGAAATAACACACCTTTTCAGCTGGTTGCTTTTGTAGATGCTGACTGGGGAGGAAAAATGGATAATCGATAATCAATCTTAGGTAGTTGTCTGTATCTTGCTGGTAACTTGGTCATATGGAACTCCAAGAAGCAGAAAACTGTTTCCAGGTCCACAACAGAAGCCGAGTATAGGAGCTTGGCTAATGCGTCTTCTGATGCTACATGGATAGGTGTATTGCTTGATATTATGGGAGTTAAGATACAAGGTACACCTGTCATCTAGAGTGATAATTCCAACGCTATATCTATGAGTGCCAATCCAATTTACCATTCAAAAACTAAACATGTGGAGTTAGATATGCATTTTGTTAGAG